TTTTCTAAAAATTTTCTTGTTTTATTTCTTCGTCTACCGGTCATTTGGCCTGTCATGGTATGTTTAGTGTTAAGAAAGTAGTCTGAAATACATAATCGAGAAATAACAACTGATATTCTGCAATAAAGTTCAATACATTCGTGGTGAACCGTATTTTTCCTCTATTTTCAGAAGGATTTATTAACACTGAAATTACCGACTCGTAACGAGGAGCTAAACGTATTATGAACAGATGATAATAACCGAAGTGATACGATGAAGATAAACGCGTACGTGTAAATCACGTTTGTACCTGAATAAAAGTCTCCGCGAATCTTATCAAAAGCTGCATGTTTCCAGTAATTATAAAAATAAAACATTCGAAACCGGCCATTTTGAATAAACCATTAATTCTCTGGTTAATCTCCTAATTATTTCTTACCAATTTCAAGTGAAAAAAAATACTGGAACATCGATCGTTACATGTGCTGATAATTATGAAAGTGGTCTAACCATGAGTAAAAAATTTAAAAGAAATTTATTTTTCGCTTATTTTGTGTCATATCCATTTACTTTGCGATAATATAAAACTTTTTTATAAATCGAGCTTGCAGTTGTACGTAGCACTAACCCATATATTATTTCGATATATATCGAAGTTGAAAATGCAGTGGATATTGCATTGCAATTGGTAAAGCAATAAAAAGGAATAGATGCCGAACAAGTGTACTATATTAAAGGGAAACAACAAATTAGCAGTATCTAAAAACGCGTAATTTATTTTTCATTTATTTCAACGTATTATTAACTTATTAACTTAACTTATTTTATTTTATATATGTATCCTTTCACGTAAAACATATCTGTATTCGAAAATTTTTAATTTCCAGTTCGCTTATGACATAATTCGATAATCGACGTACTACGTGTATAGTCATTCGTTCCTTGCAATTATCAACGTCCATAACGTTTCCATCAGAACGAACATGTCCTTTGCCGATTTAACACTAAACCTACTACGACCGGTCAAATGACCGGTAGATGGAAAAGTAAAAGAAGATTCTTAAAAGAAAAAAACGCGGAAAAGAGAATGAAAAATTAATTTATATGCATATCGAAAGAACAATCGTGGAAACAAATAACCAAAGCGATAACGTCGAGTGCGGAATTTTTAATGAAAATTTGGAATTGCTCATTTAGATCACGGTAGGTTTAGTGTTAACGGCAGATATCTCGTTTTGCATAATTCAACAATTACAATTTTGCGGATGTTATATTGTTATGCATTAAAATCCCGTTCGAATCACCATCTTGATTATCGAAGTCCTTTCGAGAAACGAATTATTCACCTAGTGTTTTGCGTTATTTCTAGCCTACGTTCTAGCAGTGGTCGTGACAAATTCGCGAATCATCTTATTTTACGTTACATAATTGCTGCTAATGGAACTGTGACGATGCGGATCTGAGAATAGCGGCAGGTCAGTTCTCGCTCCACAAGCACACCATAAAGGTTTATTAAACACACTAATGTACCGTATGCTTTCTCTGTTAATGGTTACCATATCATCGTCATACAAACGAACGCATCCACGGCGACAATTCTAAACGCTGAAGCAAAACGTTTACATCTCGAGTAAACGTTTTCGTCTGTTGCTCGTGTTAAAATTATTTTAAGAGATCGTGTATCCTCGCAGACTGTTTTCTCCTCTTTTGTGATCAACGGCGAATGCATGATGTAACTTATATTTCATAAGAGAGTAAAGAATGAACGATTACTGTGCTTAGTAATCATCAGTCAATGTATTGCGTAGTCATTCTGATGATAAGTACTTGAATGATTCTGTTTCTTGATTTACCAATCGGCGATATCTTTTAATCAGGAAGCTAAAATTGCGTAGCATAACTATACCTATAAATACATATATATATATTCTTGGGATTTTTAATTAATTTTTATTAATTATTCGTTTTCAAATTTCCTCCTCACCGATGGAGTATCGAATTTTCGTGCAATAATTATATTTATTTATTATGATTATGTGGGAATAAAAATTTTGACTTTTATTTAAAATGCATGTGCAGCTGTGAATTTGAATTCTTCAACCACTTAAAATGTCGTTTTACTTCCATCGGATACGCTTGTTAGTTGCATACCTGTGTGATTGTAAGATGCGACAAGAGAAATAGGATACACGCGTAACCCTTTTATTTTAAACATACACATTTGCAACAAAGCAAACTGGGAAAATAGTTTCCCTCAGGGTACGGATTTTTAGACTCTCTGTCTCGGGTTATTGATAAACTAGTTAGAATTGAACAAAAATTGATGCTGCTCGTTACCTAGTTTAGCGATACAAGAAGTGCGAAACGCGGTCATAGGATGTGCAGTACTCGTATTTAATTTTCTTATTTAGTCGTGACTAATCTGGATCACGTGGACAAAATATGTATCTAGCACATATCTTTTACTACATTGTGAAAAATCCGACTTCTATCCCGAGAATCTAATTTCTAAACTTCCATAACACGATCAACTTTGAACGATTTATAATAATCGTGCAAATCAATGTTAAGAAGAGGAAGAGAAAATTCCTGCGAAACAGTAAGGTGTTCCAAACCTTCCGAAATCCGATTACATATTAAATAAAGCTACGAAAATTTTCATTTTATTTGTTTTATCGTATGTTATTTTATTCTATTCTAATTCTACTGAAATTTGTTAAGTACTTTTACCATGACATTTCAACTGATTATAAAATTGCAGAAGAACTTAATTAGGAAGAAAAATTCTTCTTTATATTATTTTTCGTTTTTTAATTAAATTCCAGTTTAAATTCCCCTCAAAAAACAGTAATCTTTCAAATTATTCTATCATTCGGTCTACCTAATATAGTTGCAAAAATACTATAAATATTTACAAGCATGAAATCACATATTTTATTCCCGAATTAGTATATTCTGAATTATTTCAAATTACAGTGGAATTTATAGCATCGAGTTCTAAATAAAATTCGCATACTCCGCAATTTTCCAATGCCGATTTCCTCAAAAACGAAGCTTCGGACTAAAAAATTTGATCCTTCCTTTTCCACTTAATTTTACTTACAGAATCGCATACGGACCAATTATATCTCCAGTTATAATACCCTCCGTGTATATTTCACCTGCAAATAGGAATAAAAATATTCCTATATCATTTATGAAATACCAATAACGACATATCTATGAAATACAACTCTTCTTTCACGGGAGATACCGCAAAATCCCATAATCATAAATTCTGCCAATTTTTCTAGGCTAATCACCGATATCCGTTTCCAAGGAAAATCGCCATCGGATCGAATAAACATCAAACGAAATCGTCATAGTGTCTAGTAACATGATACTCTTCTTAGTGAACACACGCTGGTATTTAGCTTTAATTAAGTGAATATATTCAAACGAAGCGACTGACGGAAGCGTACTACTTTTGCCAGCATTCTCGCCAGTTGTAGATTACAGTTTATCAGATTGTATTATCGTTACGTCTGTATCTTCCTTATCTTGAACGGCGTTCCTGATTTCACCGACATAGAAATGGGCGGGAAAAAATTGTTACTCTGTAAATCGTGCACGTTGTAACAATTCGCATTGAATTTCAAAGATTAGTAATGTAAGTCCTTGTGCTGCTTTGACGTAGGCTTGAACATTGATAAAAGATACGTAAGACGAGAAACACTCGCATAATAACGAGCACCCATAAATTAACCCTTTACACTCGAGGGGCGACCTTCGGTCACAATTTAATCAAATTGTGGAGACCGATATTAATTAATACTAATTAATATATTATTGATATTATTATTATAATATTATTAATCTCGTCGGCAAGGTTCCTATAGGCTCTGACACCAGCCCATTGCGTCATTCAGCCTAACTTCGAGGAACCATCTAGCTTATCAATTTTCCTCGAAGAAAAATAGATTCCGATGCAGGGTGACGCTATTAAAAATAAAGATTCCTTTCACACTAATATAAAAAATATCGTCGGCTTTATGGCAGAGGATAGCTGCTTATGCTTTCAGTAACTACAAAAACGAAAATCTAACCTAACCCATTTTGACTATTTTGATAATTCTGGTATTAAATCTTTTTTTTGGCAATGTAATTACCGAGGTCAGTTACGGAGGAAAAAATTCGCTACCATTGGGATCAATTTCAGTCACTCGATGTAACCATTACGTAGAGTTTAATTGATTGCTCTGGCAATTGGTTGCAAGGATTTCTTAACGAAACCCTGCTTAATACTTAAATTCAATTGAAGAAATTACGTTTGATTTCGTCAATTGCAAGTTTGATGATACTTTCGTAGCTGCAGTTTAATAGATAAAATAGAAAGTAATTTTGACCGACATTTCTAAAAAAAGAAGTTACTTTTGCGTAATGAAATTTATCGAATATCTAATAAAAATTGCAATTTAAAATCGAAAGTAGCAAATTAATAAATAACCTAAAATGTAAATCATTCGTCATAAGTTATCGTACGATGTTTCGTTCCATCAGAGAATACACTATTGACGCTAAGTAAAGATGGCGGAAAGAATAAAGAAACGCAGGAAACAGAACAGAGTAGAGAAAGAAATTATCGCGTCGGCAATGTCGTTGCTCTACGATCCATGAAAAAGGAATCGGAGAAAGTACAAGTTGGAATTTCGCGAATGAAAAACAAACACAAACTATTCACTTTCCGCGATACTTCGCTTTTTTCCTAGTCCAGTTGTTCTACTGACCTCTCTAGCTCTCTGGATCGTAACCGAATGAAATTGTATCTATTTATCTTTCCCCGGAAAATCTAACCTTAACATTACTAATAACACGTCGAACTTTGAAACGTTATCGATATTGCTTCTAACGTTATTAATTTAATTTTTACATAACTGACAGATTGATTGAGTTCGACACGTAAAATATATTCACGCTCGCTTTAATGCTTTCCAAATTCAAATAGGAATTCAATGACACGGGTGTATGTATTTTTTCAGAGATACCATACAAAGAGAACGAAATGGGTGGAATTTAGCACAAAAGCAGTGTGGCCTGAATAAGTAAGTATATATATATGTATATATACTTACATATCTTATTAGTTGGTTTGGTTGTTATTAAAAAACAATGGGAGCTTTTGAACAAATTTAATGAATAAATGGGCAAAATATGAATAAAAACAATACTTTTTTGATATTATATATCACTTATTCTTAGGTAATTACAAATTCTAAGATAATTTAGAACTTGTAAAACAAGTTCCATGTTCAAAACAATAAGTACTCACCATATATTGCTGCACGTATAGGGATCCAAAACCATATAGTATTGGTATTTTTTCTCTTAAAAGTTCAATGTTAGATCGGGTTCCGGCTCATTGTAATAATGTTAAACCTCACTGAACACGAGAAAATAGCGATCATTATCACCACACCTTCCGCGGGAAATCGTTCACCTATTACGACTATCAACCGATGACCATAAAGTTGTCATGAATGTTAAATAGAACTACCAAATTTGCATAAAACTATATGTTCATATATACACAATAATCCATAGAATTTACTCAAATATCATATAATTATAATCAATATCACTTGTTTTCAAAAATTTTCAATGTACCATTAAAATTTTACAATATACAATTAAACAACTTCATCAAAATTCAAATTCACTATGTACCAATCAGAAGTCGAAAAATTCGATGATGACCAATAGCGTACCTTAGTTAATATTTTTTCCGATATACGATCGATAATGTGATTCGATCTAGTATATGGATTACCAACGGTAGTACCACCATAAAAATAATTTGAAGTGTACTTATTCAATCTAAGAAGAAAATCGTTAATTTTAATCTTAAAAATGACGGACAGCGTGAAATATCGACAAGGACTGAAACACAATCGTAGACATACTGTCAGGTAAGTGATACATTTTTCGTACGAAGGCGATAAATGTCTTAACCTATCTCGTCGAGCACATTGTAAAGAAAATTCAATCTGACAGTATCCAATGCGGTTCTTCTGATCGATGTTGCATCGTGCTTTATTTTTTAGGATGTCTTCTACCTCCTAAACATGATCATTATCCGTTTATCTTTCTTTGTTTATAGAAGAAATATATCAGTTACATTTTAGTGCTATGTAACCTTAGTATCCCGCAAAAGTATTAAAAGTCTTTTGTGTCATTATTCGTCACTTGTCAATTTCACATTTTACGTTGCAACTGATACTATTTTAAAAGTGTTCCCAACCTGTAAATATAGTATAATTTATAGTAAAATAATATAGTGTATCAATGTATAGTGTTGATTAAAATTATTAATATATACATATGCGTATATGAAGTTGAGAAAATTTTAAATGGGTCGAATATATTGTTTTTATTAACACTGAACTAGCACGGTCAAATTACCGGTGAATGAAAACGAAGTAAAACTTTTAAAAAATGAAGTAACGAAAGACATTGAAAAATTGATTAAATATATAGGAAGAAAAATCACGAATGACTAAGACGATAACGTTGATTGCGGAATTTTTAATAAAAATTTTAAAAACGATCGTATAGGTCATGATTGGATTAGTGTTATATAAAAACCAGTGTCTCTCAACTAGTACGTTTCTAAAAAATATCTTACATAATTTATTTATCTTTTTTTCTACTAGTATTATAGTAATTTCATATTATCAATTACTGAATATTAATGAAATTAAAAATTGGAAACACTTGATATTCTTTTAAATAAATTATTTTTAATGAAGTCCTTTTTTAATAACTTAAATAATACAAATTTAAAAATTGAAATAAACCTAATTTTTTAATATAAAATTTTTGTTTAAATCCATCATGTTACTCATATTAATAAAAATATATTTTCGATGTTATTTATAATATCTTTATTTCTGTTTCTAGTGAGTCTTATCGTAATGCTCTTCAAGCTTTCATAGATCGAAGACGAGCCTCTGACGACGTGGAGATTGAAACACCAAGTAGTCCTGATAAGAAAAGAGCAGATATTTTGGCAAAAAATAACAATAACAAGTGTGACAACGAAAAAAAATCACGCGAATCAAAATCAATCGTAGCAGGTGTACCTCATATACCAGCTCCTGAAATTTTTGAAATCGGTTGGATAGCAGGCACGGAAGATCGATATCTCGAATTAATTTTTGCCGAGTGGCAAAATACCCGAGTTTCACTGAGGAGGCACTCACATCCAGAATGCAAAGAGGCTATAAAAGCAGATTTAGATGTACTTTCGTACGTACAAATTAACATTGTATAGAATTTTGTTTATATTCATATCCTCCGTTTACTTGTTATTAATGATATTCTGTAATAACTTCTTTTCTTTTAAATAACTACAACATATAAGTGACTAACTTATTAACTATTTTAATAATTTACCATAAAATATATAAATCATAGGTAAAAATTACTGGTATGGGAAATTAATCTCTGTAGAAGAATGAAGATAATTTTACATTCTCCGCATTTGATAATTTCGAATAATTAATTAATGATTTTCATAAATAATATGGAATGATACTTGTTCATCTTATGACAATCATCTGCATGAAGTATTTGTATTTTTCTTCAGGGAAATTCGACACCCTAATGTGTTACTATTAATGGCCAGCACACTTACAGACGAGCATGGTCTAGTCTCTATTTTCGAATCCGTTGATTGCACCCTTTATCATTACATACACGATCAGGGTGAACGAATATCCATACAAGGTATCGCGAAATGCGGAGGAAGACTGTCCGATGCCTTAAGACATTCTCACATGCGCGGATACGTGCACAGTGCCATCAGTTCGCATTGCGTCTATTTGGCTTCTAATGGTATCGTGAAACTAGGTGGATGGGAACTGGCCATGCATATCAACAGTGTAAGTGAATACATTCATCTTTTATTATATTGCATGGCACATCTTGATTAACTGCTTTAACATACTAATATTAAATAAAATATTTAATTAACAATGTTGTCTTTTTGCAAACGTGTTTTCAATGTGTTTTCTCGCGATGTGCTTGTGATATTATCTATTGCATAGCAACTCAAAAATAATATTAGAATTTAATTTAGATAATAATTTATGTTTAGTTATTTCTTCCCACGTTAGATCAATGGATATTAAACGCAATCTTTTCTCATTGTGTGAAATCTAAAAATAAAGTAAAATCAGAAATAGGGAATTGTTTTAAAATTACTTTTATTTACATTACTGTTATGTGCGATTTATAAATGTACAGCGTGAGATTTCCCATTGCTTACAATACCCATAAATGTAACAACAATTAAAAAAAAGTAATCAACTTTGTCAGTAACTATCTTATATAACTATTTATTATTAGAAAGTAATTTTATGTATCAGTAAAACAACAATTTTATTTATGAATGTAGCACAAGAAAAATCACACGTTCGCAATGAAATGCTAATTCTGGATATATTCAAGTTTCAATAAATCGTTGCATTGCACATTCTTCTGCAATCTGTAATAAATAAATTGATTAATGCGGAAAGAGAACAACGCGAATATCACTTATTCATCGAGCAAAATTAATTGAAAATAAAAGGATTCCATTTATACATTACACGCTGTTGTGCAGACTATTTATTCTGTGATGTGGCAACTCAACAGTTTCTTTGTTTTTGTTTATAGTTGTAAATTAATTCATGGAAAATATTTATGAATGAATATCGGTACGTTATTAGTTTGCACAATGTGAAGCAACTTTCACAGAGCTAGCGGATAATTATTCCTTTTCCAAGTGAATTGTCAGATTATTTATGAGAGGAAGAAGTCTCGTCACAAAGAACAATAAAGGTAAAAAGGTGTAGCTTGAAAGTCGGTTTCACTATTGGAAATTAATGAACTGATTATTATACTATAAATTGTGAATTAATGGAAAGTAATTCACACGTTGCATAAGTATTTTTACCAAAATTTCCGCAATATCTACCACATGAATTAACAAATAATAACGGATTAATATTAATAATAGTCGACTCCACTTACGCGTACATAAATCAGAATATAAAATATGCGTAATAATTTATTCTACAGAATTGTACGAAATATAAAAAGTATGTTATACAAGGATATGCAATTTTGGATACAAGGATATACTAAAAATAATTAAAATCACCGGAAAATTACTTTATTATTAAAATAGATATTATTAAAATGTCTGATGTATAAATACATATTATCAGTTGCACTATCTAAAACAAAAAGTTGTCCATGAATTAAGAAAAGAATTAAAAATATTTAAAATAATTATTAAAATATTCATGTCCTAGAAGTTAAACATCCAGCCAAACTTACTGGATAACACATTGTATTTATGCAATATTAAACATCTTTTTCAACACTCGATATTTACTATATATTTCACAGTTTGATATAGTATACCCGAGAACCATTGATTATCATTTTATGAAGCATCCACGGGTAAAATTAAACCGATATAACGCCATATCCTTTTTTTCATTGGCACTCCCAGCAGTATTTGGCGGCAGGAAATTGTCGGTACTGCTTCTCACAAAATGTTCATTTTTGAATAAAGTCACTGTACCATGACATTCTTAATTGCGTTCAACAGCGGGAGCATGAAAATTCATGTAAATTATAGGTAGCACGATTAAAAATGTCGTGTGTATTATTTTTGAACACATGAGTCAAACTAAATACGTATTCTTTTGTTCTTGTCTTTTCAGATTTATACTATACTATTCTTTCTGGAAAGTTACATTTGCGTTTTATCCGTAGATAGCATAGTAAATTCTTTTGTTCATGCTATTTTTCGATTCATTTTTACAAACTGTTAAGAAATATGATATTCCCATTATTTCCAGTAGAATGCTCAAAATCAACCTTCCAATTTTATGAAGTAATACTTATGATAGATAATAAAGCCTAGAATACGTATTACAGTGGGAATTAATTTATACGCGAAGGTTTGAATAAGTTCTGTGAATTTTGCACAATCTTCCATGTACTTCTATGCTCAGTTCTCACGAATTTTTTCTCAGACACACCTAATTTTACAACACACACGCGCGAAATGAGAGATATTTTAATACCATCTGAAATACAATAGACGTATATGAAAGTTTTAAGCAGCAATATAAAATAGAAAATCATTAGTAAGATTTTCACGAAATTATTAAGTCTCATCATTGCGATACAGAAAGAACAGCAGAACTAACTATTGATTATTCTAAAAATCATTATAATTCATTGATACATATGTTACCGTTTATTTTTCCTGAATTCCAGCAGAAACCTATGTTATTATCAATTTGACATATAAAGTTTTGAAATATTTTACATATATTTCATAACAGTAAGAGAGAAGTGAATACATAAAAAAATACATAAAAATCACTTTTTTTTTTAAATCGTCTTCCACTTTGACGTAATCGAATATCCGATCTATATGCAAATAATGGTACAATTAAATACTTTTATTCGCTTTCTTTTCATAAATTTTTGCTTTCTATTTCATTGCAGCAAAAGCCGGAAAGAGAATACGAGGAACGCTTACGAACCGAGGTCTTTCGCTGGCAGGCACCAGAACTTTTTCACAGATACGAACCGCACAAAGAGAGCGATGTGTACGGATTGGCCTTATTGATTTGGGAAATGTGCACGAGTAAGTATCACGATTACTGAAATCGATCAGGCCTATTTCTATCAAATTTCTCGCAACATGTTTCGAATTGTACAATAATTTCAAACGAGGTTCAAGCATTCCAGAAATTTCATACTCGTGTATTTCTTCATCTGAACCTGAACGATTACAAGATTAACTTTTCAACCAGAAACGCCACCAAGATCTTAGAATAAAAATGAAACAGGTTTAGAGCCGATAAGGAAATGAAATCACATTCGCTGAGATTTCAATGCTTTCAGCGAGTGCTTGCTTTCCAAGACACTTGCATTTATCACATGCTATATAATGAACGAAATTTCATAATTATTCCGATTATGCAAAACATTTTTTCAAAATTGCAAGACTCCATGATGTGTTTGCGTTGACACGTTTTTAATAGTAAATGAGATATTATGGCATCTACATTTACAGTTTTTCATATTTTATATTATTTTCACATAAAGTTATATAATAATATGTTATACTAGGTCAAAAACTTTGTTACGTTGAAAAAATTTCGTTGAACGCATTAAAAATTACATTAAAGTATTTTGTACTATAATTGAGGATGAACTTTATAATAACTTAAGGTATAGAAACTGAATAATAAATATCATTAAGGTCTGCAGCTTCTCTGATTTCCATTTGATAGTTTTAATACGTTTGATGGTGTTTTACAAATTTTATAAAATTGTTTTTCTTATATCATTATTTTTTTCTATACACTACAAATGGAAATTAAAATTCAGTTTATAAAATACATTGTTCTGCGTTCTTATATTTTTTATTTGTTGTAAAAAGAATAAATGATTAATAAAGAAAAATTTATTTTTAATCGATAAACAGTGCATGTACCATGGAGTGGCTATACTAAGGCAGATGTGGAAAGACAGTACGTACATTGGAAACGTGGAGTTATGATGGATTTATATGATTTTCCACCGTTATTGTACAATTTATTAGAAGCTGGACTACAATTAGATATTAATAAGAGGACACTGGATATGAATAGATTACGTAGATTTCTTCAAAGATTAGAGGTATGTTTTTTTTTTTTTTTTTTTTTAAAAGGAA